AATATTCAATATTTGAATTAGTATATAGGAAATGAATCAATAGTCATTGTTGTGATACAAAACTATATGTTGAGGACGATTAACTGTTTTCAAACAAATGTTTTTATTAACCTGGAGTAAATCGTAATGACATTGTGCACATATTATGCGCATATAGTAGGTCTATTCAAAGCTATGTTCGTGTTTTAGATATAGGCTTTTTGTGTTCGATTAAAGCTTAACAATTAGTAATTTGACATATTTCACAACCTTACCAGCAGCAGAGTTTCTAATTTATTTGTCTTTGATACTTAACCGAAAAAAAATAAAAGTAAGACATCCTACAGTCGCCGAACTCCATCCGAAATATTATCACTACAATTTCTTCCTGTATTTTTTTCTTTAACCACCCTCTCCCCGTGCACACACGTAGCATCAGTCATAGTACTAGTATATACGTGTTTAACGGTTATAACAGAGAAACTGGTGAACGAAGGCGAAACAAAATGAATACGCTCGTAACATAAATAACATTAAAACAACATCTAAGAAACTTAGTTCTCGACGAATTTTGTCAAGTTTTCGGACTCCTAATTATTATGACACATTCCTTTTTATTTTGTGTCTTGGTTGTACAATAACATAATTTAAATACAATCAAATTCAATTGAATAGTAAATTAAATAAAAGACATATCGATAGTCCCCCGCCACAGAAACGAACATTAATGTGTATGCTATAGTTGTTATTAAATACACCGCTCAAGATTTACGCCAAAGCAGTGATTATTGCAACTACCTAGAATGCCAACGGTATTCAAAACATGTATATATACATGTATATATAAATCAAGGTTTGGTACAACGTTACAATGCAGCGTCTGGAGTGTCTCTGGCTCGTGGTCGACACTACACCACGCTTGCTTTGTGTGCACGCAAACAAAGGGGAGCGAGGCAGTGCTGTTGGGCAAATACCTTCGTTAGGCGACTTGCGGTGTTGATTAGCGCGGCTAAACAGAGGCCACGCACAAGGATGGATGGCAAATGGGATGTGTCCCCCGCTGTATTATAGTTACAATAGCACGGCGAGAAATTGAAACAATGTATATAGTTTTCTCGGAACAAAGCTATAGTTATTGATTATGGGATTTATCTCTGCCGATTACGATCTTATCGTACACATTTCCGATCAGGTCATCTGTACGTAAATATGGATATCTTATGGTTTTATTTATTTTATTCTGTGAATAATAATAATTGAAATATGAATCATTTTTTAAATTGTTGTACACCGACATTTTCAAGGCACGATTTTTTTTTACTTGCGCAACATAAACTAAAATAATAATTAGCATTTAAATCTGGTCAAATATTGTAACGGATACCCTATTTCAGTTGATATAAAAGAAGTGTAGCGAAAGAAGTAGAAAACATGCTGATATGGGAGCAAAATATTGATATTGCTATCATTGAAAAGATCATCATGTAACTTTTATTGGTCATCGATATCAGTCACTATGGTTACATTGATGCGATGGCGGTCGCGAAGAGAAAACGGAAAGTGACATCGTCTGACTTTAGTGATATCAATTATTTGCTTGATCTCAAAGAAATCAAACTACCCTATGGTGAAATGATGACGACGTTAGAATCTATACTTCTACTATACTCTTTGATCCGTCGTGTGGAAGTTCCCGGGCATCACACGCCTTGTAACTTATTTGGAGTTAATTGCAGCAACACAGCGACATCACAACTGATTGCATGAAGTTAGCAAAGATAAGATCTCATCATATCATCACATATCCAATTCGTAATTTCGTTTTTGACGATACACGTACATGTTTTACCGAATTCAAAACCTTTTCCCCGAAAGTACTAGTACAACTGGAATGTCGCGGTTGCGTCGTGAGTTTACAGCCGCTAACGAAGGACAAAGAGACAAGATGTATCGATGTCATCTGACTCCGTAATTCAATCAATTATGTGAATTGTGTCTTTAATTTCGCAAATGAAATCATATCGATTACAACAATGTGGTCGTGGTGTGCGTTGCGGTGTCGCTTTGTTTGTACTATGGGAAAGTTTTTCTCTCTTTTTTATATTTCTCGTCGGAAAAGCTCTGTTAAGTGACTGTGTGATGTAAGTTGTGATTCTGCCCATATCCGTTTTTTTAACAAAAACAACCAAGGATATACTTACTATACGTGTATTGACGGAGTGGATGAGGTACTTAGAAAGAAAATATCAATACAAAAATCAGACTCACTGAAAATCGAGTTTTACGAAGAGTTCAAATCACTGATGTTTTTGTTAAGGCGACTAAAACATTGAAAGGATAGGAAAAGGACTGCTATAAAAAGACACTCCAAAATAATATTTACAAAAACACAGAAGACTTTATAAGGGCTGAGTTTGGGAACAAAGCTGGTGACCTGCCATGGTGTGGACCAAAACCAGGGTACGCGGTAAAACGAAATACCGCGTTTGTTTATGTGTGTTGTGTGTATCATAATACTGAGTCGTCGATGTATAGAGACTGCATGCTGAGCGCGTGCCTCTATAACTGAGGTTGTAGCAATGTTTCCCCCAGCGCGATGTAATGTATGGTAGTAGAAACGAGCTAACATCCACTAATGCCATACACGTGCAATACGGACAAAACCGACACGTGCGTGAGATTTTGTATTCACTCCGCGTTTTGTTTTTTTCACCAAACGCTACTCTGAAAGTTGTTTTATAGCAAGCAGCCTTCGATAACCCGAATTAATCTTTTCGCGTGTAGTGGGTCTCGAGCTCATGAGTTTGGATCCAAGGCCGGGAGGCGAGGAAATGCAAGCTTATATGATAAAAACTAATCTATCATAGAACCGACTGCAAACTTACCATACAGGTCTGAGAAGTTTTCGAAGAGAACCTATCGCGCGTTCGACAGAATTATGTGAGGTTTTCCCGAGGTAACATACGTTTTAACTTCCCCAATCACGGTCGTTTCCTTGCCCTTAATTTCCAGCTTTTTATTGAAACTGGGCAACGATCATTACTTTCTCAAGTGAAAACAATAATTACAGCTATACTGCGTTCAATATTTCAGAGGTTTCGTCAAGCTCAACAATGCGCTATCATATACAGGTAAATTGCCCCCACGTGCTGTGTTCTACACCGTCACGTGACTATTCGACTTAACTTTTCGATATACATTTCGTCTGCACTCAAGTATCTGTAACCAAATTTCGGTCCCTGGAGGATTTTACTTCGTTTTAATTATTGAATAACATTTATCACCACAAAGCACAGACTGGTTTCGAGTACAATATATTTGTTGCCATTTTCTCCCTTAGTATGTCGGTCCGATCAATTTTTTCTACGTAACATTGTATACTTTCGTTGAGTGATTGTACTCACTCTGTGTGACGCAATCCCCGTGATTCAGGCACACTTAGCTTCGGCGAGGAGACCCCAGCCCGGTCGATACATGCCCTCCATCGACGGAGAATTGTTGTAAATTTCTGGGGGATCCACTAATTGAAAAGCGCGGGAAAGTTCAGCTGGTACGCAGACGGTACGTAGTTGGAAAAACGAGCATTTTTTTTTTCTGCTTCAGAGTGGTCGATGGTGAGTTTCTATGTTTCATTCTGTCAATAGCATTAGTATTTAATCTTAATAATGTAAAGATCGAAATTAGTACTATTTATCTTTAGCGATAGAGTACGTCTTGATTTTTATTGGTCTCTTGTTAAAAAAAACGATAATCACCCATACTTTCGCACATCGATAATTTCTATAATTAACGTCTTAGGATAAACAACGATTTCTGTTTTGTTTCGAACAAATACCATTCTCACCATTAAACAAAACGAACGCGCATCACAATATTACAAAACCATTATTATTTCATGATTTCTTTCAAACAGCTTTTTTTCCCTCTCCGTCGTTGGGTAAAATTACGTATGACAGCTCACAGCTGTGCGAGAGTCAGTTCCGGCGCATGCGCATTGCACGAATCAGGACTTTATTGGAAGTACTTTGGTTATAATGAGCTTCAATTATATTGATTGTCGTGCCATTAATGAATCGTACCCAAATGCGACTTTCTAATAGAGTCCTAGCTGATATTTAATAAAAAAAAATGGGTAAATTTGAGAAAAACAGCAGCCGGGAGTTATCGGAAGGGTACTTCAGGTGACGTTAATTGTGGTTAGGCGCTGATACTCGACTGCGAATCTGAAGTCACTCCTAACGGATGGTGTCCTTGTAATAAGAGTAAATATCGAATTTTCATCTTCTAGATAAAATGGTTTCGATTTACTTTAGTCAATACCGTCATTCCAAGCCCATACTCATTCCAAACCGTTTCCCTATTATTTGCTCAATATTTTATTTTATTGAAATGACTATTGCCGAGGATGAGAGGATTTTGTTCTGTTTTTTTTTCTTTTTTACTCAATTCTTCGATTGTTTAAAATTCCAATTACAATAAAACAAGTTGTAAGTATGTGTGGGCTATGTGATTTTTAAAGGTAATTGCTGTTGAAGTCGATATGTTTTGGAGGAGGACGAAGGAGGTTCTCTGAAAAAACGGCGGCTGTTGGCGTTCTCTGTCAACCTTAAACCACTCAAGCCACAGTTACACCCGACTGGGTCGCATAAATAGGCTTGGACGGATACATTTCGATAATGATAGCGTAGTGATCTTGCCAAGCAGAGTCGGTGAGTGGCAGCCTGTTAGCCACGCGACAACCAACCCTGACCATTGTTCCGCTCACGCGCAGAATTCCCACGATGCCACTCTTGGCCAATGGGCTTGTCTATGCAAATGAGCGGTGTCAACAGTCAGTTGGAGAGTCAGTGAAAAGTGGTTGTGATTAGACCAGCCCACAATTATTGATGGGACTGAACCGTCGCCAGAGGGAGGGGTCAACGCGTCGCGATCTACTCTAGTGTCACTATAAAAGAGAGACTTTAATTGAAAGCAACATAAGATTGTGTGGACCGACGACTCAGCTGATCGGCCGTACAACGATGGCAATGGATGACAAACTAGCGAATAAGTCGGCGACAGTAGTGGACAACTGCACAGCAGCGTCGACGGATTCGACCTGCAGCTCACCGACGACGTCGTCATCACCAACGACGACGGCCATAACGAGAACGACGGCATCTTTATCGGAGCCCAGGCTCTCAGCTTTCACAAGCATAAACAACAGTAATATCGGAAAGACGCCAGGAAAAGATGGAGTGTCGTCATCACTCTCGGCTGCTGTGTCGGTCACTTTTTCTAGCATCTCGAGATCACTTCACGAACAAGCTAGCAGTTTTCAAGCTTACCAGTCCATGTTGAAATCACAGCCACCTACCTCGACGCCATTTTCCTCCTACAGTGACATACAGAGAAATCTACCAGCGTTGAATCCCGCCTCAGGGTTAGCATTTTCCCCGGCAGCGAGTATATGTGAGTATATGCCCCTGCTAAATTGCGTACATTTTCTACCTAATTTGATAGATTTACGGCCTAATTAGTCTCTTTTGTTCGATCACAACAAATCGGCTGTCCAGTCTGCATAGAGTTATACAGTTCTACTCGGCCACTATTGCGCCAAACTCGTGGTTCAGAAAAACAAATATTTTGTCTCACTTCCAGTTTTTTCGATACACAAAAGTTGTGAGTGTGTTTATATCGTGTGTAATGCAAAGTCCCAAAGTTTGTTATTGCCGCCCAGTTAGGCACTCAGATAAATATGTTGATAAGAGTTGGCGCTCTCGTCTCGATAATGTTTTAAAATTCATTGGGTATTTTGAGGTGTATTCAGTCACAATCAATTACCCTAATACGCCGTGTCTTCGTATTTCATCGTGCAAAATGTTTGGCAAAAACATTCAAGCGAAGTGGCTGTGTATTTTGTTCTCAGACGATTTAACACTTTTAAAAATGTTTAGATTTTTGTCACATCGCTCTGAAAATGGTGTGTGGCAGATTGTGTGAATCGATGTTTGCGGGCAAGGTGTCATATTTTCAAAATCAAATTTTAAAAATGTGAATGAAGTATTTTTTTTATTATTATTATTATCTCTTTTAAAAAGAGTCTCTCCGTCCAAGACGACAATACTAGTATTGTAATTTCGGGTGTGGTAATTTCGTATATCAGACGTTAGGTACATTTGTTTTCGTGGTATAAGTACATGTTGACTGTCCGTGTAAACAACTCCCGTATACTCAGTTGTACTTTTGTTAAATTTTACAGTTGCTCGACGGCGACGGAAAGAAAATAGGCCTCGTAGACAGCGGACGACTTTCACAAGTGAACAGACACTTAAACTGGAGATGGAATACCACAGAACCGAATACATCACCAGGCCTCGAAGATTCGAGCTAGCGGAAATGTTGGACCTGACGGAAAATCAAATTAAAATATGGTTTCAAAACAGGCGAGCCAAAGACAAGAGAATCGAAAAGGCTCAGATGGACCAGCATTACAGGTGGGTGCCGTATTATCTGAGGGTTTTGTTCTTCACCGACCACTCCCGGCTTTGTTTGGTCAAACATATTAGTTAAATATTTACTTAACAATTATTCTACGTCACTTTTGATTATTTTAGATACGTTACGCTAATTGGTCAATATTTTGACGAGTATGCGTCAAGTACTCCGGACGCTCCGTCTAAAAAAAATAGCATAAAAACGTTGAAAACAAGCAATCTCGTTGATCGGCAGTGTTAATTGCTTTCCAGAGCTGTAAACAGATTTAGGAAAACGCAAAAACACACACCACAAATTTCGTTGTTTCAATATTGTCATGATGACTTATGGCACATAATGACATGTAATTTAGAAGTTCAACTCGCGACCTACTTTTAAACAGAGAAAACATGCCAATCTATTAACCGTGTTTTTACTTTAACCATTGTTACGAATCACCGCTCCCTAGAACACGGTCGTTCAGTGCACGTAAGCCATCAAACCATCAACATGCTTGACGCGAATTTGTGTGCATTCACTGACAAACAATGACTTATATATTCATTTATTTGTCAATATTAATAATAATACTATTGTATATTTGTTAAATAGTGTAGTAATAGTGTTGATGGAAGTGGGCTACTATATTCTCGTCTGAAAGAAATGGTCTCTCTTGAACACTTTAAACGTGGAAACAATCGGGCAAACATCTTAGTCCGAAATATCTCCTGTGATCCCAAATGTAATTAGCCAGTGCATGTAGTCAACATTCCTTCTCTCTTTGGTGTCACATTTTACGTTAATTATTTTACATTTTCTACAAATTAGATCTTTTACCGAAAGTATCCATAGTGAAGAGATTCACACATCTCGCCATTCCTTCTTTTCATACACCCACCTAATATGTAAGACAAAAAAGTACTTCCACTTTTTAAACACTATTATCGAGTAGTTGCCCCTACTTGTCCTTCTGTTCATTGTATGTACGCCATATTTCGGCGCCCTTTTTACCGTCTGTTGTGATTGTCGTCTGCGTACACGTTTTTATCGTCTGGCGAAATGTTCAGATTTTCTCGGGAATTTTTTTTTTTCTGGAGTCGGGCAAATCACGCCGACGGAGAGCACGTATGAATAAAATTATTCGTCTTCAGGCAACACGTCAATGGTGTATACGCTATCGGATGATTTGGGCGAGAGGTGGCCATGTGTAAGCATTAAGTTAACCAGCTATTGTGCTTGCTGTGTTTCACAGCTGAACTCTCCTTGTCAAGGGGCTAGCTGAGTGGTAAAGCGATTTCGCGATAAAACTCAATTCTTAACTCACATGATAATTCTTGTCAAGTCGTATTGTTCAACGGAAAGCCAAACAATGGCAATGAATATTCCCTCTTTGTTCGGCCGGTGTTCAGAGTAGCCGCTCTCTCAAATTGAATTCTCGAAATCTTGCCAGGCATCTTTTCATTCTTACGCATTCACAGTTAGCTATGTGTTTGTATTGTGTTTTTTGCCATTGAACACGGCTACACCAGCAATTTTCGAAGAGACGCGGGAAATTGTAGTTATCAGTCGGCTAATCGCGCCGTATTTCAATCATTTCAAGAGCATGAATAAACTATGGCCAATTTAGAAAACATTCATCCCGAGAAAACAGGGCGATTGGTAGCATAGACCAAATTTGAACGTAATATGTTTGAGAAAATGGAGGGCAAAATCGAATTAATGGGGGTTGACCATCGAAAACTCTAAGCAAAGCAAGTTCTTTTTTAAAAAATCCGTTTCGGGCGTCTCGTGGTGGCGCGAAAGTTTTGGGTGTTTCATCGTTTCCAGTTGCGCCAAATTTGAGCAGCGCACTTTTTTTCCAATCTTTCAGACATGCTGCCATAGACAGAGTTCAGTGAATATGACTATTGCTATAACTCAAATAATTCTAAATAGCTATTCTCATCTATATTTTTATTTTTTGTAGATGTATGGGCTTAGCGCCGCCCGGAAGTGCCTATTCACTCGGATCAGCGTATCCAGGAGCATTCTGTGGAGCATGTTACTACAAACCAACAACCGCTACGGCCGTGACGTCAACAATACCACACAATGCTGTCGGCCACCCTTATCAACTCGTCTGATCAACATGTTTCCAAAACACAAAGGACCTTTATGGACATCAAGATGGCCACTATATTCATTATTTTTGTTTAACAATTAGAAGTTATAACTTGAACTCGCGCACGTGACTTTAGAAGTTAAACAAATTGAATGCATCTTCGCCGATCGCCTCGGGACTTCTGAGATGATAACACAATCTGAAACTTTTAATAGTTTACACATTCATCAACTGTAACATATTCTGACTAGTTTTCGCTTTTCTTTTCTATGTATCTTGTTCATTTCTGTTGCTAAACTGAAATTGTGACCGTTAAAAGTTTAAAAGATTTTATTTTTAATTTATTCTTAATAGATTTATTTATTTATTTATTTATTTATTTATTTATTTATTTATTTATTTATTTATTTATTTATTTATTTATTTGTTTGTTTATTTGTTTATTTTGTCCGTTCCGGCTTTATGTTTTACAGAAACTCTCGTATACCTTTTTTCACATTTGTCGTAACAAACTGTCTACAGTCATATAAAGTAACCGTGGATTCAACACTAAATGGCAATACATCATATCATTTTGCTTTCTGAGTTATAATTATGGTCACAATATAATTATTATGAGTAGTAGCAGATATATGTATTGCGTCTTCTGTGTTTATGATTTAGGTTGATGAATGGCTTGTTCTGTTTTCAAGTTATAGCGTGAATACCCAAAACGAACAAGCTTTAAATCTCGGCAGCGACGCATAGGCTGGTAGATGATTTTGAACGTTTATGCAAGTAGCAGTACGATGATGAAGACGATACTTCTTAACTCAAAAATGTACATAACTGTTTTACTCTCTTTTATTCATCGTAATTAAATTATATCTTTTTTGGAAAAAAATGCACATCAAAACACGTGAGTGAGATTTCTGTTGTTTCCTGAACATTAACATGAGTGTCAAAACGGTCGACTTGTGTCTTCGCGTCCCCAGGATGAGCATTATTTACGCTCCATCGACCCCTTTCAGTCGCACGTTTAAAACACTCTCTCTACACAAAGAGACCGAGAGGGCATCGCAAAAACCGTACAGCAAACAGCGGAGCTGCCGGCAGAGCCGTGACAAGCTTTGCTGATATCATGATGCCCATGATCAAGCACCACTACATATGTAAAACTGAAGGCCAGGAAGTTGAGAGAAGGGGAAAGCGGGAGAACTCTGGGAGTGAATCATCATTGATAATAGCGGGAACTAAACAGGTGTCCCGCCTAGCTTGAGTTAACTGGGCTATTTGGTTGATTGGTTAGTTAAACACATGGTGTAGATTTCACACCATGTCACCCCCTTTAACCTTGTTAGAATTACACGTCAGACGATATTTAAATGGATGTCGGACAATGATTGGTGTTAAAGCAGTCCCATATTGTTTAATACTTTTTCTCCGTCGAAATATTTCATCAGGCTTTCTCCCTCTCGTAGTTCCTCACGAAGGGTTTAGCGACCCTTCTATAATCCATATCAGCACGAAGTTATTTTATATATTGATAAAAAAGATTATTTATTTATTTATTTATTTATTTATTTATTTATTTATTTATTTATTTATTTATTTATTTATTTATTTATTTATTTATTTATTTATTTATTTATTTATTTATTTATTTATTTATTTATTTATTTATTTATTTATTTATTTATTTATTTATTTATTTATTTATTTATTTATTTATTGTATATGTTTATCTGTTTTCGCCACATCCCAAGTTCTGTACTACTGGGCACTAATATCCAATATTAAAACTTGTCACTGGGTCCCCACGTATGTAATATCTGCTATGATTAAAAAAACGTAATGGATGGTATGCTTGTATTGTATACTATTCTGTCAGCCCAGTAACAAAGCCGTCAATTTGTGAGTAGGAAATGTCGGACTAACACATTTAGAGGGAGTGCTCAGCTGTGGTAAACTTTCCCAATATTATTAGTACCAGTTGAATCGGCTTTATTGTTACGACTCCTACAATGCGACTGGATGCTGTTTAAGTTCAAAAACTAGACTCACTACTTTTATGTCATAACACTATTGGCTGTACGTGTGTTGTAAATGATACCCATACTTTTAAGCTTTGGTTATATTGCTTCATATGTAGTTTATTTGGAGTATACTGTAGAACACGTTGAAATAGCTGCATGCAATTTTAGCGGATTTGACTCTTGGCATGAATTTACAGAATCTTCATTCAAGCTAAAGTATCAACTATCTCATTGTGAGAATATACTTTGTGTTAAATTAGCGACATCTTGAATTAGCGAAATTACAGATTAGCTAAATTAGCTAAAATAAGATGCTAGCTAAAAAGGCATGTTTTACAGTATTTACGTTCAGATAATGGCATTGTCGTCGTGACGTCATGCCATTTTTACTTTACTTTCCATTATGACCATTATATTTCAGAAGTATTGTTCGTACAGTAATAGATATTACTCTCACTACGAAATCACCATGGTTTTGCAATACCAAACTACAGCCAGTCTTCGTGATATTCTATTTTTTGTTTGTAAACGGTTCGTCTGTCCATGGTGAATTATCTCAGATAAGCCAATCGTGAGATACATTGCCTATTGGCCTGATTTATTTTGCACGAATACATGTCCCGGATGCAGTGAGAACAACTGGTGAACATTTTACACAAATTTCCAATACATTGTTTTTAGGAAACCAGATTTTATTTCAAACTAAATTCAATGTTATGGTCTACATTTTTTCCCTTTTGTTAATATTTTAATAGTTGCCGATTTTGAAGCATTGGAGCACAAAGTGATTTAGTAAATTTGCGTTATTACCGTCACCGAAATTCTCCCAATCACGAGTTAAAAACAATAAATAAATTACATCGAGTTACATATTTTGTGAAACCACCCCTCAAATTGTAACTCGATGTTTAAATAACAGTTACAGGCAGCATAGATTTGTTGTGTTGTTTAACTTTTTGTGTTGCGCGTTAATCGTTAATCGGGGTTCAGTCAACTGTTAAATTAAAATTCGAGTTGTTAAATTCGAACGTTAAACCAAATATCAAATCAATGTTGCCCGTAACTCGAAGTTCTGCTAACTGTTAATAGAAAATCGAGTTACAATTTGCAAAAGTGGGCAAGGTTTCTAAAATATGATCGTTTTTGTAACTCGATGTTTTCGTAACTCGATGTCCGTAACTCGAACAATTCAGCATCTCCTGTTAGTCATGACGAAGCGTTAGAACGATCCATTTATGCCTCTAATTCATTCGTAATTCAAAGGCGGGGGATTATTTACAATATACTACTTTAAATTTTTTATCTCTTCTCTATTATTCTAATAGTCTACTAACCTTCGATAGGGAACAGTTTTCGTTTAATAGCGTCCGTCTTTTGTCAGCATTTACTAGAAAAGTACGTTTTTGTTCGAAATATTCCTCGCTTGCCAGATTATTTGTTTTGAACATTACCCGTTTACTTGGAGAAGACTGTTAATAAGTTGAGTGAGCGGAGAATTTTTTTCATTGCAAGGTTGTTTTCGCATGTCCCAGGTGGTGAGTTTGATTCCACTTCACTATTTATAAATATTTGTGTTTTTTTTCTGTTTATCGTGAAGTTGTAATGAATTAACGATTTATGAATTATTTTTTGCAAAACAATTGGTTTCATTATGTACTGCTTGTTCTAATTTATTTTCATCTCAAAGGTATTTACTGTTACAATGTGTTGACCCAGGCTCTCAGCATCCGACATATCTTACAGGCCGAGTTCGCCTATGTTTGCTGATAAACCACGACTTTCACCAGACCGCGATTTCAAAAATGTCCGTTAATTCCTGTTAGTGTACTCGAAAGGGTGCGATACCTACCAGGAAAACGCTACGTATTCATAGATCGGAAGACGCAATTCTCAGTTTTGTCCTCGATCTATGTCATTTCGGGCTGAAGGAAAGACACACATCTACGGTGAATGTAAACTCCCAGCTCTGGTTTCTAGTAAAATTCATCATTGTCACAAATGTCGGATGTAATGTCACGTGATTGAATCAATGGGTTAAATTTATATCATTACGTTTTGTCGCATGTCACGCGTCCATTGTATGGTGACAGCGTAACTTTGACTCTTACAGTTACTTACTAACTTAGTTGTTGTGGTAGTCGACTCTTGTTGTATGTTCATCGAAAACGAACACAAATTATAAACTCAGTTTTGTCGCTATATACCAAATAAAATATTCAAAAGATAAAGATAAAGAAGAGTGAATTGTCAAACGAATAAAAATTGGATCAATTCATATTTGAACATAAATTTATTAACGCGCGGTTTGGGATTCTGAAAATCAAAACAAATATGCATGAATGAAAGACAAAGGCCCGGGCTCTGCACATGCGCATCAGTGAACTAAACGTTACGTGGTCCATGGGGATAGTTTGCGATAGTGATTGTTTCAGTCCAATTGAGAGTAAAACCATTTGAAATATACTACTAAAAAAACAGATTACTCAGTTTTAGTCCATCATAACGATTTGTGATTTCTATTTTCTGCATGTTCTTGTCGTTTACATATATTCGCAACGAGGCTCTCAAAGAGCCATATCATTTTCGACAAGTCACAAGCAAACGCCGCATGTCAAATAAATTACGTGAAATACGACCACAAGCGACACGACAACTGTATAATCAAAATAGTGCGACTAAGTTCATCGGAGATTTATAATTGACCATTATAAGCTTCAATACTAATTTTCTGAAATAAATCATCTAAATATTTTTGAATAACAAATAATTGAAAATTATAGTCCAATACAGTTGTTCAGTTTATTATTTATTATTATTTATTCAGTTTTATTATTGCCATTCGTTTTTGTTTTTGTTTTTAATTCATACATATCTGAATCATTACGGTGATGCCAAACAAAAATATTGACTTATCACCAAAAAGTTAAAATAAATTAACGAAATGTGAATTTTGGAATAGTGTGTCTATGAACAACAAGTTATAATTATTAACATTAAAGTACGTCTAATTATTGCAATCATTGTG